TTGATCCAAGATATGAAGAATGGATAAACTAAAATAGAAGTAAGATATATATATTTTTTATTTAAAGATTTGATTGGAATAGATCTAGGAAATGGAGGATAAAGCTCTAGCTCATCTCTTTGAATACTAATTGTGGATCAAAGAGATTGATGGCCACAACTCTCTCTAGATCGACGGCCAAGATTTGACCCTATGAATTGAGGTCAAGAAAATCTATAAAAATAGGCTCCCTCATAAAATCTCTACACTTATTCTCTCTTCTCTCTCTAAGGGTTCATCTCTCTCTCCTAAAGATCTCTCTATAGGTAGCACGCCCCACCTAAAATCTCTCTCAAGCCAAGATCTCCCTGTAGGTAGCATGCCCCACCTAAAATATCTCTCAAGCCAAACTAAGGGGCATGCCCAAGGAATCTCTCTCTTGGTGGACCGCTCAAGCTAAGGTAATCTCTCTCTCGTTGGTAATATCTCTCTTCTCTCTCTTATTGGTAATCTCTCTCACGTTTCTTGGTGGCACCCCCAAGCTAAGGTTAGCTTGTGGTGGTTTGATTTTTGGGTAGCAAAGGGGGAGGATCCCCTTGCTAATAGATCTCGCTCTCACTCTTTGATCTATCTCTCATCTCTCCAAAGATCAAGTTAAAGAGGCTTGGGTAAGACTAAGCCATTGAAGCTTTAAGTAGTTGGTAATAGAAACACCGATCATAGATCCCGAGAACCATCGAAATGAGAAGACTCGGTGTGGGGTGTACTAAGCTCAGTTGAGGTAATATCCGGCAATTTTATTTCTTTAAATCTTTATTTGTAATTTGATCTTCTCTTCCTATAAAGCAATGAGTTAAGGTCTTGATATAAAGAATTGTATTCAATAGTGGTAGCAAATGAGAACCGTGTTTCGTTTCTTTTGTTTATTTGTTTGTAATTAGACATTATGAGTGGTCTTGCCCATGTAAGAATAAAAAAAATGAGATAAAATTTAATTTATATACATCGTGCTTGATCACATAGTTTATATAAACTCTTTCCTTTTTTTATTTACCCAAAAAAAATTCTATGTTTTCATTTCATTAGTTTTTTGTTGAGTTTCATGCATTCAATATGTTATCAAATTGGTGTTTACATGGTGTTACATAGTTTTTATTATGTGTTTGGTCTTCATTTCTCATTTCATGTTTTAGTGCTACTTTGTTATCTCTCTTTATGTCGTCAGGTCAGTGATTTGATAGGTTTAAAGGTGATGAGGTTTGGACGGTACTTTCTTTTCATATTTACCGTTTGAAGAATAATAATGATGACAATATATTATTATTATTTCAAGCACTATCATTATTAAGTTTCCCTTTGTAATTGAGTATTCAATACGAAAACAATTATTGGTGCATTTTCATGATTCTAAAAATTGTTTATTATGATATTAAAAATTTAATTATTGGTGCATTTTCATGATTCTAAAAATTGTTTACTATGATTTTAAATATTCAATTATTGGTGCATTTTCATGATTCTAAAAATTGTTTACTATAATTTTAAATATTTTTATCAAAAAAATTATAATTGTTCCAAACTAAAATATTGGTTATAATATTTTTAAAATTAAATTTATTTCATATTCTAAACTCTTTAAAAAAAAAGGGTTAGCAAGTCATTAATGAAAACTAAAATCATAAACGCCAGTTCACGCCGTTAGGCTTGTAGCTGATTCAAATCCTTTCCATGATGTTAGACCGTGGACTCGTCCAGCTCCTCCCCCTGCGTCAGCCGCCGGATCCTCCGCCTCCAAGGTTGCACCCACTGCCAATTCCATCAAGGGCCAGGCCACCCTACTGACCGATGCAGAGGCCACCAGCCCCACCAAAGTTAGCTCTTCTCGAAGCAGGAAACTATACGGTGGGAGCCGTTGCTGCTGGAGCAGTCCAATGAAAGGAAGTGTTCAACCACTCCCGAGTCATGCCTATGCCTCCCAGTCATTCAGTCAATGAAATCCTTGTTATTCCTAGGCCTCCAGCCGCACCTTAGCCAAGACCTTCTCCAAGCAGGCTGGACCTCCCAGCCTAATTTTAGAAATAAAAATTGAAAGTATTTTAAATGCCCTTTTATTTTTAAATTAATAATTCAAAAATATTTTAAAAATATTATCAATTAATAATTAAAAATCCTAGAATTTCTTATAAACATTTTTTTAGGCACAAAAAATTATGTTCAAAATTATAATCTATTGAAAAATGAAAAGAGAAAAGAATCAAAGCACTTTGCCTATTCTCATGTAATGCTAACATGTAAAATAGTTTCACATGTCCCAATATTTTACACGTCTATGATTTTAACCTGCAAAATTTTGGATCTTCTTGGATCCCATTTCCAATAGGATCTCTATCTTTAAACCGTTGATTATTTACATGACTATTTATGTGATCACTTATTTCATTCTTACGTATAACACACGTCATCCAATATTAAATACTATTTGATTATAACATTCTCCCTTTTATTATGAAGTATCAAAGTTTTACTATCCAAAATCATTATGTTTACTCATACAACTCAATATATGTTGAAAGGATAAACATAAAACATTATCGTTACTTGGATAAATTTCCCACAGCATACGATATCTAAAACCCAATTCATGTCTATTTTTAAATAAACGGTTGTAAAAACAATTTTGCAAGAGATATTGACACCTATGCTTCATAAGTAATTAAGTAAGAAGAGGCATGGAGGTATTGATTGGTATATATCTTCTTTCCCTTTTTTTTATTTTTTATTTATAAGAAAACGAATAATCTTTTAGTATTTAACTATTACAAGAGGTAGGGGGTGACAATAATATTCAGTTATTTATTTATGAGAGGAAGAGAAGGGCTTCTTGCTCTTGTGATTAAGCACACAACGTTTCTTTACACTAACGTCCAACATTTGAACGGTAACCTAACGTCCAACATTTGAAGGGTAGTTTACCCAACAAAAAAGAAATGAATGGATAGAAATTGGTGGGATGGTCTATGAATTAACCTACATGTCATGCTTAGTTTTGTCATCTTTTTATTGGCACTTCTCTCTAGCATGGTCTATTTTATTTTTGTGCTATTGTCATTTCCTTAGGCACTACCATTCGTGAAGAAGAAGGAAAGTGCGACTCTATAATGTGTCGATGGACTTGATAGAATGGATCACATTCACAAATCACAATCACACTAAAACAACAAACATAACTTTGAAGATAAATGCCATACAGCTAAAATCTTCTATGAGAGAGAGAAAGAGAGAGTTCAATTATGTATGTTTATGTGAGGTCTATGAGAAAATTAATTAATTTATCACAAGATAGATGAATCATGCCAAAACTCTATCTCTCCCCGTACATTAAACCAAGTGGCTTAGAACACAAAAATTGGTTAATGAGCATCATATGCTAGGTTCTCTTGTGAGCATAGTTTATTTCTACTCCCTCGATCAGAAGACTTATTGTGAGCATAGTTTATTTCTACTCCCTCGATCAGAAGACTTACTTGGGAGGATATTTTCAATTTAAAATTGAACCACCTAAAAATCACTAAATGATTAAAAAAAAATTGAAATTTGATCTCACTATCTAAACAATTGGATGGTCTCTGTTCAATCTCGAGACATTATTTTTTCTAGTGCACAGAGGGTGCAATTAGGATTTTTTTTTAATGAGTTAATCTATGGGTTGAAGAAGTTGCATCCCACAAATTTGGGGTCTTAAAATTAATTCTAGATATAGGTTTACCCCAGGGAGAAAATGAACAATAAAGTCCCATGGGAGTATAATATATTTTTGCTTGGTTAATGTAGTCATTTTGTGGATCCTATAGAACGCTGACAAAAACATATGTGCATGTAAAATATTTTAGGGTGAGGAGCTCATGTAACTAATGTCATCGTCAAAAAACATTGAGCCACTTGGGTCATAAGCATTAGCCGTGATTGTGACATCCAATTTCATATAAGAGATTATTAGCATGATAGTGTTTATTAATGAGAGGTGTGCGTTTGCTATTAAAAGCAACAAATAAAAGTCAAATTGTGGTGATTTTGAGATGAATTTTGTGACGGGATTTGATGGGCCACCATTTGGAAAAAAAACAAACAAGAAAGAAAGTCGAGGCTAGTTTGGACAAAATTTTAAAGCTCTAAATTTAGGATATGCATAAAAGGAGACTATTTACTTTGGGTGGGGTTTGTACAGAACCAGTGCTCTAAACAATCAAAGAAGAGCCCACCTTCAAATAGTGTGGAGAAATATGGTTTCAATATTGGAAAGAATTGTGATGGCTTTAAATTATATTATTATCTTTAGTTCTAAAATTTGAAGCTTCAAAAGCAAGTGTACATCGAACATATCTATGAAAATTTGAAAATTTTGAAAATTGACAGTCCAAAAATGCATTAGCAGATGCACTATTTTTAAAACTTGAAATCTTTTTTTTCTCATGTCCATGTATCTTGATATCGAGATGATCAATTTGATGATATTTAGGTATCAAAACAACCTCCTCTAATGAAAGATTTGAGGTAGGCTCTGATTTGATTGTTTAGAGCCTAGGCTCTATATAAACTTTTCCCATTTACTCTTAGGGTGGGGTTTGTGCAATGTTGGGAAGTAACGTGCACCTCTAAAATTTATTTAAAGATGTCATTTTGGTGTTAGAAACCTTAAGATGGCTTGAAATATAGTTTCATCTTTAGTTATAAACTTTAAATTTGGAAACAACATGGGTCGTGCAGATCAATAAACATTTAAAAATATTGAAAATAGACGGTCCAGATAATTTGTTACAAGATACACTCTTTCTTAATTTGAAGTTCTTCTTTTCTCTATGTCTATATATATCTCGAGATCAAGATAATGAATTGAAGAACTCTCCAATGCCAGAATGCTTTCTTCTATAGGATTTTTGAGGTGCACCTCATTTCAACAGCATAAGGTTGCAACCTTATATAAACATTTTCCTTACTTTTAATACAAAGACGTTACAATCACTCTTGTTTGTGAGATTTCTCAAACATTGCAACATACTCCAGGTCATCCAAGTTGATATCTAATAGCTAATAGCAATTGTGATCTCCTTCTAAAAAAGATGAATAGTCTTAGAGGCCGTTTGGATACCTGAAAATATATTGTCTGTTAAATATATTACGGGCGTAATACATTACTGCATAATACATTACCTGCAAATAGATTGTTACTGTTTGGGTAGTATTTAGATGCAACTTGGGAAATACATTGTTGCTATTTGGCTAGGTCTGGAAGAAATATGAGAAATGCATTAGCATTCAAATATGAAAAATATGGTTATGTTTTGGCTAACATGATTAAACTTTGGTTTCAACATGATAAGTCATTGGACTAATATGATTGGAATAACATGATTTTATTGTGATAAGTCTTATTTTTACTTATTTTTTATAGAAGTTTTTCAAATGTCTCTCTATATATAATTTCAAATAAGTAATAAATTTATGATACCAAAATCAAAATCTTTACGATACAAATTAAAAAATGGGAAGAAATTTGATTAGTAAAATAGAAGGTTTGATAATTGCAATAGAAAATTTCGAAGGATTGGAGAAGACTAAAGAGGTATCTTATTTCAATTGAGCTTTTAGTAATATCTTATGTGGATTATGTTGTGTAAAATTTTTTATTATGATTGCGTTGTATAATTTCTCATAGATTACCAATTATTATTTTTATTATTTTTGTTTTTATATCGATGATAGGCTATAACCCAAATTGGGGATAGAGGGATATAGAAATTTTTTTATTATGATTGCAGTAGAAAATTCTCCTCTAGAACTGTTCAAATCAATTTAGATTTCCCCTTACTTTCATTTATCAATTATTAAAAAATTTTGTTTTTATAAGAAAGTCAGATGAGTGATACAACTCATTGGGATAGAGGGATATAGAAATTTTATATTATGATTGCAGTAGAAAATTGTCTTCGTACACCTGTTCAAATTAAAAAAATCTAAGCCCTCTCTTCATAATAACTAACGTAGGTGATTCCTCCCTTTTTATCTCGTCCCCTCATCTGTAGACATCAGTTGTGATATAAAAACAAAATTAATAAAAATAAAAATCAGTAATCAATGATAAATTACACAACACAATCATAATAAAAAATTTCACACAACATAATCCTCATGAGATATTACTAAAATCTTAATTGAAATAACATACCTCTTTAGTCTCCTCTAATACTTCAAAATTTTATAGTGTAATTACAAAACCTTCTAGTTTACTAATCAAACATCTTCTTCTTTTTTTAACTCGTACTATAGAGATTTTGAATTTAGTATCATAAATTTATTATTTATTTGAAATTATATAGAGAAACATTTGAAATACTTCTCTAAAAAATAAATAAAAATAAGGCTTATCATAATAAAATCATGTTACCTTTTGCGAGTTAAATCTTGCTCACGATAAATCAATCTCCAAGCTGAGCTGGGAGGATAAAACCTAATTTAGCTTGCCATGCATGAAATGTCCAGTTTTAGTTACCCTCCGCGGACAATTCTACTAAAGAAAAGAAAATAAAGAATAGACTCAAGACACTGGTAGATGGTCAGGCTTGTGCATGCAACATGATTTATTGGGTTTTATCCCTATCATGTCTAGGGGACCCCTTCACCACTCTACCTGAAAAAAAAAACAAAACAAAAACAAATGGTAGTACAAAATGTATATTTGAATTTTAAGAATGGGAATTGCAAGAAATAATAACCTGATATAATATCGTTCATCAAATCATCAATTGTGAAATCGGTAGGGCTAAGAGTGTGTGACAAAGCTTGAATTTTTTTATTTTTTGTGACTTCCATCATGGTCAATAGTACAACCCAACGGATTGATTTCAAATTTAACTCACAAAGATGAAAGTAACCTTCTTATTGTATGATTTTCGATAAGCATATGATCCTATGAAATATGGAATTCTGATACCTCATTTCTCTTAAATTGTATATTTCAAGCTATAGGCACATTCGATGCCTTAGCCACCAATTAGTAAATAGAATTCGCCATGAGCATATTCATTTCGTGGGAAACCTCTTGTCCATATTTGTCACATGGAAAGCAATAGATACTGTAGTGCTTAAGAAAGTGCTAGAGTGCGCCAAAAGTGTTGTTAATATATTTTTTAATATATTAAAAATAATAATAATAATTAAAAAAAAAAAAAAAAGGGTAGGATAGGGTTCCATGAACGGGATGCCAAAACATAATACCTTGAACTAGAAATCTTTGTGATAGTCTTAAAATATATTTTTATTTTTATTTATAAAGTTTATAGCTTAAAAAATAGTGTAGATCGATAGATCTATGAAAACTTAAAAATATTGAATATTGACGGTCCAAAAATGTGTTGTAAAATACACTATTTTCAAAACTTGAAATCCATTTTTTTCTCATGTTTATGCATCTTGCTGTCGAGATGATCAATTTGAGGATATTTAAGCATTAAAACATCTTCTATTGAAATTTTTGAGGTAGGTTCAAATTTGATTGTTTAGAGCCTCGGCTCTATATAAATTTTTTCGTATATATATATATATATATATATATATATATATATATATATAGTAAGTA